CCAGAAAAAGGCCCCGCGCCCCCGCCATAGCAGAGGCGTTGGTCAAGCTGTTCTCGTGGGTCGGGCTGCCCAGAGAGTTGCTGACGGATCAGGGGACGAACTTAACTTCTAAGGTTATGACGGAACTGTGTAAGATCTTGCAGATTAGGAAGCTCCGGACGTCGGTATACCATCCCCAAACCGACGGGCTTGTGGAGCGCTTCAACCGCACGCTGAAAGGGATGCTCCGGAAGTTTGCACAGGACAACCCCCGGGAATGGGATAAGCTGCTCCCTGCACTGATGTTCGCCGCCTGGGTATGTCTACACTACCCTCCTAGTTCGAACTAGGAGGGTAATGTATGCATACCGCACTTGCTAATGAAGCCCGGGATTTGAATTTCCCGGGCTTCATTAGCATAAGCGGGGAGCCGCCATTTTTAAATCCCCGCTGCTTCGAACCCCGTGTAGCGCGTATAGACGAGTTACTGGGGCGCCTTGGAACGGCGGCCTATTTGTCAACCCTCGATTTGACTAAAGGGTATTGGCAGATCCCGCTCTCGCCAGAGGCCCAGGCAAAAACAGCGTTCGCCACCCCCTTTGGGTTGTATCAATTCAGGAACATGCCGTTTGGGCTGCACGGGGCCGCTGCTACGTTTCAAAGACTCATGAACCAGGTCTTAAGGGACCATCAGGACTACGCAGTGGCATATATCGACAATATCGTGATATTCAGCAAGTCCTGGGAAAAACATTTAGACCACATTGCGAACGTATTAGAGGCCCTGAGAGAAGCGGGACTCAAGGCTAACCCAAAGAAATGTCAATTCGGGAGGGCCGAAGTGTCGTATTTGGGGTACACAGTGGGGAGAGGGAAGCGCAAGCCCTTAGTGGACAAGGTCCAGGCCGTACGGGAACACCCTACCCCAACCACAAAAAGGAAAGTACGGCAGTTTTTGGGATTGGCGGGCTATTATAGACGGTTCATCCCTAACTTTTCTTCTTTAGCCGCGCCTCTTACAGATCTCACACGGAAAGGACAACCCGAAAGGGTGAGGTGGACCCCAGCGAGCGACGACGCGTTTCGGGAGCTGAAAGACCGATTGGTCTGCGCCCCAGTGCTGGCTCAGCCCGATTTTAACAAGCCGTTCACCTTACAGACTGACACGTCGGAGGTGGGGCTAGGGGCGGTACTGACGCAAGAGGAGGAGGGACAGGAGCACCCCATCCTCTATCTTAGTTGTAAACTTTTTCCCCGGGAGAGGGGATACGCGACGATTGAAAAGGAGGCCTTGGCTCTCAAATGGGCTATTGATTCACTGCGATACTTTCTTTTAGGCGATAAATTTACCGTGGTGACGGACCATGCCCCATTACAATGGATGCAGCAGATGAAGGACACTAACCCACGGATTTTGCGATGGTACCTCAGCATACAGCCATACCAGTTCCAAGTCACGCACCGCCCCGGAGCCAACAACGGGAACGCGGACTGGCTATCCTGTGTAGCAGAAACCCCAGGGACAGGGACGGCGAGTATGACGCCAGACTTAAGGGGGAAGGTGTGTGGCGGGGTAGCCTCGCCCCTTCCGGAAGCCGCCGGGATGCCGCGTCCGCAGGGAAGAAGCTCACCCCCCCGCGCGGCTTGCAGAGCCGTCTGTCTTCCCCGAGTGGGGGGGCCGGCGCGCCAGCCGGGTGACGAGCCGGGGCCAGCAAACGACGCCGTCAAGGGGCAGGGGGAGGAAGCGGGGGAAATGACGTCACGGGGAGGCCGGCCCGAGGGGGGGCCGGAGGATGACGAGGGGACTGATGTCATTTGCCTGCGACCGGCGGGCAATTCAAAAGGCCGCAACGGACCAGCAAGAAGGGGGAACGCCGAGGAGACGGATCCCCCCCGGGAGCAAGCGCTCGGATCCAGGTATTGGCGACCCTGGGCGGGACCGGAGCGGGAGCCTGGTGGTGGAACGTGCTGACGTGGGGGAAGAAGTAGCCCAGGGCGGGGACGTGGA